GGATTCAGGAAGTTGTAGACGAGTTTGCTTTTTCTGGAGATTATTCGCTGCAAACATCAGAAACGGCCACAAGAAGCAGACCACCTACATCTCTATCAACAGGGTCTTCATACGACAGCACACCATCATCGGTAGGTTCATATCACAGCATTCCGGGGCGATCAGTCAACAACTACGGTCAAAATATGCAAGGGACATTTCCACCAAATGAAGAAGCGTTCTCAGGAGGTGCGAGTGCGAGCTTGGCTCCGTTACAAAACTTGTTTAGTTCTACTTTTGAACAATACAACAATTAACGATACTTAGATTCAATGCATTTCACTCTTTTACTAGCCTAAAATTGTAAACGAGATAAACATCAGTTTTCAAAATGTTAACAACAATGATTCAAATATTATCTGTTAAAGTGTAATTTCATTACATATTTTTCAATATTTCAATTTTTCTAAATAAAAATAATTAATTATGTATGTGTATTTACTTACCTCAATGTGACATGCAGTTTCTCTTCCGGTAGAATTGGAATCTTGTGATAGTTCGCCCAGTTTTTGGTGAGCTTGTGTTCGATTTTTGAAAGGATAAAATAAAATGTGTCTGTGCTCATCCTGAAGTATTCAAAAAACCGTTTCTCGTCTGCAAGGAGTTGCGGAAAAAGATGTACGTATTCACCGTAAGTAGCTCTCAACTTATTAATCACATGCACTTCACTTTTCACTGGTTTCAATTTTGTCGAAACATTGTCACTAAGCAGCAATAACGCTGCTGCCTGTTCTCTTGTTAGCTCCATGATAAGACTGTTCACTTTAGTGCCAGATACAGACAGGTAGCGCTTACAACCTGCTTGCATCATGGACACCCCACCGGAGTCAGACAATCGGCGCCGAAAATCTGAATCTGACTGCCTGCTTAAACCAGCGTGCATTGTGGACGTACCCATACTCTTCGACTCTTTTCCTGCTCCTTGGCTTTTTAAAGTTTTCCACACCTGCTTAATAGGTTTATTTTCTTGTAGAAATTGAGCTATGTAATTATTTCTAGCATCTCTTAACATTCTCTTAACTCTATTCCGTAACACTCTATACTGCTCCCAGTTAAATTCATTTTTATTTTTTACATATCTTCTATACAACAATTCACGTTCTTTCATTACTGATTTTAAGTCAGTGTTTATCCATGGACATGGGTTTTTTCTTTTTAAAACCTTTCTTTCAGGTACATATTTATCATATACACTAATAATATTATTTTCTAAGATTTCGACTTTCTCATCAAGTGAATCAGTTAAATACAAATTATCCCACTGCAACTCATTACATTGTGCTTTTAACTCTGCAAGGTTAATATTTTTAAAGCTACGTACAACTAAATATTCTTTATCCTTAAATAGCTTTGCTTTCAAATTAAATTCAACAAAGATTAAATCGTGATACGATATCCCAGATACAGATAACTGACCATGACATTTAATTCTGTTCAAGTCATTTGTCAAAATCAAATCTAACCAGGAATCACTATCAGGTCTGTGATAAGTAGGATTCAGAGGAAGTATGTGCAAATTCAAACTATTTACTAAAGCAAGGAATTGATTTTTATCGTTTGATACACTATCTATATTGTAGATAGTGTATCTATATATAGAGAGAGAGAGTGAGAGTGAGAGAGAGAGAGAGAGAGAGAGAGAGAGAGAGAGAGATAATAATTGATAATTTGTTTATTTTTCCTGCCACAGTTTGGACCTATGGTCCACTCTTCCACTGTGACAGGCAGAATATTTACAAACATTACATATCAGTTGTGGTTCTAACTAAAACTTAAAATTGTCCTGAGAGAGAGAGAGAGAGAGAGAGAGAGAGAGAGAGAGAGAGAGAGAGAGAGAGAGAGAGAGAGAGAGAGAGAGAGAGAGAGAGAGGAATAGAGCTAAAGAAAGATAAAAAGGGCTACGGGGATGACAGGTCAAAATATCCGAACTACCTATCATATAACCCTGTATTACCTCCCCATTAGGCTCATACGAAACAGAGGGCTTTTGAATACTTCACTTACACTTTTAAACATACCACACTAATTTTATTGCACACTTAATGCAGTTAGATGTTTAACATAAACTTTCACCTGAAGACGGGTTTGGATTGCAGACTGGCGGTCCCAGAGTTTCTTTTTTTGGGGGGGGGGGGGGGGGTTGATCACTGGGGTATGGAAATACCCCCAGAAAAGGGGGGTTCGGGGGACCCCCCTGGAAAAAATATGGAATTTCAAGCCTAAACGCGTATTTTGATACGTATTTGAGCTCTATGCTCAAGCTAATGGTATTTATGTTAGCTAACAAAATATAAAATATTTCGGGGGGAGGGGGTATATCCTTCCCACCTTCCCCCTGGGACCACCACTGCCGAAACGTCATGACTGGAAAATGTTTGCAGTAATGTATTAGATAACTACAATGATGACCCGGCCGTATTTTTGAGTGCTGACAAAATCTTTGGTTAATAGCTACATACAAGTTTTATCCAAACACCGATGCCCGAGGATTATAATCAAGTATATGTACATTGTCCAGTAAACACCTCGAGTACACTAATTATCACTATTGCCTCATATCCAATCATATTAACCCTTTACGCTCGGTCGCATTTGTGTCACCAAGCTTATTTGATATTTACTGTGCACTTAATTACAGTATCAGCAAACGTAATTCAAGCGGTACACGATTACGTTAAACACTTGGTACTTAAGTAATGGGAATTGTTACTGTCGATGTGAGTGGAAATGTGATTTAGGTTTATGAACGTTTCATCGAATAGTTCAAGTTCATTGTAAAGTATTTGAATTCTTTTTGGATAATTCATTACCACACTTGAGAGACAAGTTGTTACTGTTGTCATCGTGGTAAGAACCGGAACTAAAATATTTAATTTTAAAATCCCAAGAGCAAATTTTTGACGAAACAGCAACAACGGGTATCCAACGAAATGAAATGAAATAATAATTTATTTCCTACTAATCATATCCATCAATACACTGTATTTTTTACTTATAAATAGCTCACCAAACATTAGTAACTAGATAAACAAAATGTATATACTGTAGAAATAAAGTTAACAAAAATAAAAAAAAACCTTCTATAACAAAGGAAAAAGTCTACATATGCAGGGACTGTGCGTAGACCCGAGTTACAATTAAGTTAATTACCATGGGAGGCAAAAATGTATAGGAAAATTAAAAGAAAATTAGTTTAATTTTTAAAAATTTTGTCTTGCTTGGAACTCAATTTTCAGTGCTCTCGAATGAAATTAACGATAAAAAAACTCTTAAAAAAACTCTTTGTATTGAGGTAATTAAAAAAAAAACTGTTGAAGATTGACTAGGAGAGGTGGAGTGTGGTGTATCAGTGATTGTGTAGTGAAGTGTAGGGTCAACGGTCAGGTCTGCCCAACGCGATAACGGCCTCGGTATCCTCTGAACAGTCCTACGAAGAGGCGGTCGTTTTGAATGTATATTCCAAACGCGTTGAACACGCTACATTCTTGAAACCATACATAGTAAATAAACCCCAGAGTCTCTTTTTGATTCGGATTAATCACGGACCGAACTAAAAATAAATTGGCGTCAGGTGAACCCATAACAACGATTAATATATATTGAGTATGATCAATTCATGGTAAAACTCAAATAAAAATATACGAAGAATATCGTACCACGTGATAATAGAATTTCATGTTATAAGCATGACTTGAAAAACTGTGGAAGGCGCGTGGGATGGAGCCATATCTGAATTATTCAAAATCATTTCTTAGAACGCATCTGCAAGGGGATGTGTTTGTAAAATATTCCATTCTGGATTATTCGAGGAATCGTAAAACAATAATCATTGATGCACTGATTTTTATGTAGTTAAATACCCCCGCTGCAGAAAACCTGCAGACTAAGCAAATTTCCATTTGCCTGATTGGATTTACACTAAAATGTCTCCTTAAAAGTATCACATTTATTCCCTATTTAAATAGAATCAGTTTGAGGAGTACTTAGGTTTGCTGCAACAGCAAGGTTAAAAAGTTTATTTCGTAAAATGTTAATAGTTTAGTAATAAATAAATGCATTTTCCAAATTTGATCAAAATATGTTCATAAACAAGCACACTACAACAGTTTACTTATTCTTCAGTTTACACTTTTTATTAAATTACTTTTCATACAACGTGGTTAACTAATTTTACCTACGACCGTTTCTTAAAGTAGCCGTTTCAATACAGTTCTTAGAATTGAAAAGTATCTCATAACAGCATTGTTTACTTTCATAACAGCATAGTTTTACTCATAACAACACGGGTAACGGACCAATGAGGTTCAAGGATTGAGAGAGGAGAAGCAAAATTTTAACGATTCGAAATTCAACTAATCAGCTGTTGAGGCCAATTTAATTGTTGATTGGTGCAATTAGGGTTTGATACAATGTTTTCTTGCATCACAGTCAGTGGCAATGGGAGGTTCCAAGCGAAAACATAACCACTTTTAGAAGTTATGAGCAGTAATTTTTAGTAATTAAAACACCGTCGTAGGTAAAGTAGTGTACGAAACTCGCGTAAATAGTGTTAACGACACTCGTAGAAGTTTTTAAGGCACTCGCCAAGGCTCGTACCTGAAATTTTCTACTCGTGTCGTTAACACTATCTTTACGCAATCGTTGCGTAAACTACTATACTTCCACGAGTTAAGAACTTTGATGTTTTTATTCATAAACATCTGTTACTGCTCTCCCATATGAAATTAATACCTCCCTCATGCACGGCAAGTAGTTGTGTCCTATTGAACCGCACACTGTAACAGTTCACATAACAAATTCCCTCAATTCTATTGGCTAATTCTGTTGACGAATGGTGAATCTTGTAAATTATTTCCACACTCCTCTGATGAATTGTTAAAGATGGCGTGTGTGTAATTGCCGGTTACAACTGGCTAGTCGTCGATGTAGCCTTGGCCTTGTCAATATTGCATTGTTGTAACACTATCTGTAAGTGATACCCTCCCACCACACGAACAGCTGACTGGAGTTGTCTGCACTAGTGAACGAGAACAGTCCAATTGTTAACGGAGTTCTGGTAAGGGAAGTTTATGTAGTATTGCTTTTTGTATGGCTGCAAGAGTCTGGTTAATTCAATGTATTCGTGATTATTTTATTGATAAATTACTATGATTTTATGTATTATTTATTACTATCTATTTTTTGTTATTCAACCGGAATTCTGATTATTAATTATTTAATTTATTGTATGGTTAATTTCGAATTTTTTTTTCTCCGAATAATCCATGATTTATTCATAATGTTATGTTTAGTCAGGTTTCATGCAACGAAGTTCAGCTTAAAATACGCCCCAAAGAAGAGCATTTAAAAGAATTAAATAAAAGTGTAAACCTACTATGTTATGTAGTAAAATAATAAACTATATCGCAATGAATATCGAGGTTCAAAGTGTTTTTGAAATGGAAACAAATAATAAAATTTGTAGAAATATTTGAGGAGAAGGTCTGAGCCACAACGAGGGAAACTAATTCAAAGTAATTCGTCTTAATCTGAAACCGTCGGTTTTGACAGCTTAGTTATAATGCGTATTAATTACAAAAATCAAAATAATATTTAAGGTAATACTTGAATGTACGCTTAGTAAAGACATTTTAACGCATTGTATGTAGATGTAGTTGCAATGGTAGAAGTATTAGTTTACATCTCGTTAAATGTAATTTCGTTTTTAAGCCAATGCACGTGGTCAATGTAAAATAGTTTATGTTTTCGCTTGAAATACCTAGATTGAATTATTATGATATGGTTGAACCAAAATCTATTGTTGATTTCAACTAGATTCAAACAATGCTATGGATTTGCTTTAATAAATCGTAGACTTTCTTAGCTACACACTTGACTTTTAAATACAGTTTGGGAGATCTTATTAGCATAGATTAGTCTAGGAAGTAGAGCACGGAGCTTCAGTCTCTGAAGTCCCATGTTCAAATCTCAAAGATTGCCAATCAATTTGATTTATGTCGTGATATCACAACACTCTAGGTCTAGCCTAACTTAGTAAATTGGTTTCCGTACTAGAGCCAAGCGTCCTAAGATGTAATGATGGGACATACACAAATATTTTGTTTGTATTTTGTAAGTTTTCAGTACCTTCCAAGATGCCACTGACTCTATATTTCATCCCGCCCAGTCCACCAGCTCGCTCCGTGGACCTGGTGATACACGCTTTAGGGCTGACTGCTGAGTATAAGAATGTCGACTTGAGGGAAAAAGAACAATTCACTCCAGAGTTCTTAAAGGTAACTAAGTAAACATAGAGATAAAATAACTCTTCACCTTTTCTTTGAGCAGGAAACCACTGAGCTGTACAAACTGGAGGTAGGAACGAATGAGAGAATTGCGAGACGTCGGTTGCCATTTGTACTAAGGGATTAAGTACATTGCACTTTGCACTGTGTATATTTGAACTACAGTGATAGGAGATAGTGGGATTGTACAAACATAAAGCCATGAGTCAATGAGCTCATTCTACTAGTTGGTACCAACATAACAACATGTACAGTATCTCGATTTTCTAACCGATTTTCTTTGTCAACTAATACTTCCAGATGTGGAAGAAACCTACATTTTCTTATTTTCCTTTAGGTAAACCCCCCCTCATTCTTCTTCTTCTCCTAGATAGACAATCGCTATCAAATACCCACTATTAACTGTGTATGAAGACAATCTTTACAAATTGCTTAACTAACGATGAGAGGTAATCTAAACAATGCTTGTTTAAAAAGTATAAAGTAATAACATGAGCTATAAGATGTAATGGTTAAGTAATTAAAGGGGTAACTAATAAAATCACTCGTGTATGTAGTCATCTTTAAAAAGCTGCAGTTCACTCGTCCTAGTATTTAATTCAATCTGCTCAACTAAAAAAAACATATTTATTTTATGTTTCAGTTGAATCCATTACATACAGTCCCAGTCATTGACGATGATGGTTTCATTCTGTGGGAAAGGTAATTATTGTAGTTTTAATAAATTAACTAACTAGACTACTTAAACACATGTTCCAAAGAATAGTCTAATCATAAATTTATATTAAACACAATCAAATTTACTTCCAACTGTTTCACAATTCATTGTCGAATTGAGATTACATTTTCAAAATTTAAAAAGCGATGGGAGTAAATAAACAGTAGTGTAAAAGTTTTGATTATAAAATAATTAACCAGAATATCTCAAAGGGTGGATTAAATATTAATTTCTCATCAAGACTTCGTTAGCCTAGTTAAGGTTTTAATCAAGTTTGGAAGGGTTATTTAGTTATTTAGGTTTTAATCCACGCGATAAGTATTTAAAACAGTAATCAACCAACTCATTTCCACTCATTTTCGTCGAATGCATTAATTGGTAATTTATTATTTATACTTTTTTTATTGACTGATGTTAAGTTTATGAAAACATTTGATACTAGTCAAGGTAATTGTATCTTCTTCTTAACTGTAACGTATAGAGAGGAAAGTGTACAAAGAAAACGTTTGCATAACTTTACAGAATTTGTTATTAAATATTCTGTTTAACCATCTGTTATCGAATCCAAACATTTTCAAAGTGAATATATGAGAACAAAGGCTAGTTGGTCTCTTGTTGTATAAGTAAGAGAATTCTTGACAAGATCTTAAAACAAGCTCAAATAGGCTTCAGATATTATTAGAAATTATTAATTTAAGTTTCAGAAAACCTTTCTTAAAGGAACATGCAATGCAGTCAATTTCTCTACAGTATTAGAAGCAATTTAACCCATTAAAAAAAAAAAATAATAATAAAAACAGAACCAAAACCACTCACTAAAACTGCACTTAAATACTATACCTGTTCATGTGTTTAATCCCATATAATAAACAAATCATCCATAAATCAAACAAACACAAAATAAAACTGACGTAGTAAACAATAACCGTTTTTACTCATTACATGGCTGATTACCTTGTTAAAACCGTTTGTTCATTCTCTATGGAAAATCAAATATGAAAGATAACATCGTTTCAATCATTTTGTCGATATTGACATTTCCAAGTTTAATTTTCCTTATGGTCTAAATTATAATACTTTTAGATTAGTTGAGGTTACTCAATTTGATAATGTATATGCTTTGATTACTTCTACTCAATATTTAAAATCCTGAACTTGTAGTTTCGTTAGGAATATTTATACATTATATCAATCTTTAATTAATAGCTTCAAAATATTTTCCAGAATTATTTATGTACTAAAAACCGTAGAACTGCAATCCGCGTGTTCAAAATTTACAACCTAGAATTTTACTATAAAATCAATCTCAAAGTCCAAAAACAATGGTCGTCCAACGAATACAAAATCATCATTTGATAGTACTAGGAGTTTACAATTAAAAAATATATTTACTATTTACTTATTTGCTATTGGTTGCAGTCGAGCTATCATGGCCTACCTAGTGTCCAAATTTGCTGAAGATGACTCTTTGTATCCTAAAGACCTGCAGAAGAGAGCAATTGTAGACCAAAGGCTGCACTACAGCAATGATGTGTTCTATCTTATTAGGGAAATAGCAGTGAGTAAAGTTTATAGGTTTATTGACTTAAATAATGCATATAGAAATATTGATGAGTAAAAATTTTAAAGCTAACATAATCTAATCCCCTGAAGGTAAATTGTGGGCTTACTACAGTATAATATGTTGGTATTGGCGATGGTAATTGCCTATCCAGTGCTATTCTTTGATTTTTCCTAAATGTAAGAAGAGTTTAAAAAAGTTTCTTATTAAAATATTAAGATGGTTAAACATGATTAATATTGTCTAATACAAAAGGTGCCAAACAATCCATGCACGAAAAACGTGAATAGTCTCTGGGCAAACATCAAAGATCAATATGCGTTTTTTTAATACAATGTTTTTATACTTTTGGATGGATGGCTGATTATTTTCTATTTTACTTTGGACATGACACTATTTTGTGGTACTAGGATACTAATGACCCCATAGTCTACACAATTGATTAATATGAATGATGCTTAAAAAATTATAAAAAATACAAGAGGTATTTGATGTAAACTTTAGGCAACTTCAAGAAATAAATGTTTTAAATATCCATTGCCTTAGCCAATATCTAGTTTAACATTTTGCTAAATAGATTGTGAAAGACAGGGTTTTATATTATTATAGTAGTAGTAATTAACACTATGTAAGGGTCTAAAGTTTATTTATTTTTATTTACACGGCCAATACTACAGAAAAAACCTAATTTTTTGTTAATTTGAGAAAGATTCGTGTTATCAAGATTTTCTTCAAAGAACAGATGCATAGTCTATTTACTTTACTAGCATCAATAAAATATATATACTTATGTTGTTTTAAAAGGCCCCTAAAACTCTGTCATAATCCTAGATAAAGGTAACAATAACTACTACCAAATATTGAATGAAAGTATTATTTGTTATATACATGTTACAAATAAAAGTACTCCTTTTCAGAGATCCTTAATTTATCTCAACGCGTCTGAAATAACCGAGGAACAGATGCAGAAAGTAAAAGACGCTCAGGACAATATCGAGAAACTACTAGCTGGTCAAACTTTCATGGCAGGAGATCATCTTACATTGGCTGACTATAGTTATGTCACACTGGTCGATGTGTTAGAGGTAAGAATACAACTGAAATAAACATTATGTAAAACAGAGTTAATGAAGGTTTTCATTTCTGTGTTTTGTATAAACATGCTTTAAGTCTTACCTGAATCTTTTAAATTAACAAATATAGCTAAACAAGTAGACGTTTCCTACATAAATTGTATATTACAAGTATATGCAATATCCTCAAAACATTTTAAGTATATTGTCAAGATGGCTGAGTAGTTAGATGGGATGCCCGTAAATTTGAAGCTACTAAGGATACTAATGAAATTTGACTATCAATTGAAGGAATTTTCTAACAATAGTTAGAAGTTAGCTGTAAACAGGTCCAGGGGCTTGCAAAATACTAAAAATAATCTTCTACCACCAAAAATACACGAAAAGAAATTATAAAGTAGAAAGTGTTTACATGTTTAAAATCCTTAAACAACATAAACGTGTACACAACTTCAGAAGATCTAAGTCTAAAGTATACAATTTTACGGCTTTGTTTGCTATTTTCATTGCACATTGTTAATTAATATACACTACTTAAAATTATTTTCTGTCTGTGATCCAATAACGTTCAAGTTAGTGGTATCCTAAACCGATACTGATTAGAAATTTTTTAAGTTACAGAAAACGAAACTTGAAACTTTATCTTGTTTAGGTATACAACCCTTCTGATGAACATCCTTTGACAAAAGCTTGGTTCGTTCGTTGCGAGTCGTCCATGAAAGACTTTGAAACCACAAACAAACTAGGAGCCGACCTGCTCAAGAGCTTCATCAAAGAGAAACTTGACCAGATAAAGGAATAAACTCATCTTACTACTTACCTATACCTACGTACGTTATTGAACAAGAATCTATCAGCTGATCATAGTGTGTGTCCATGTAGAACATGTGTTAGTAACGAAAATCACATGTTAATAAAATAACGTAGAAATAGTAACTGAAACAATTTATTTCACAATTCCTGTTTTAACATGTTTTCAACTTGATTTTGACTGTATTTACATTAACTTTAAAATCAAATTGAACACTGGATTTTCATGCTGAAACAAGGTTTTAAGCAAGTTTTTGGTAGAAAGATGATATAGAACGGGTTTAAGTTGTATCTAGGTAGTGAACTAATGCTGCGAAACATGCCTTGTTCATTATAACACGAGAAACCGTTTGTATCAGCTGTTGCTGTGATCAACCTTTGTTGGTATTTAATATACAGGGTGTTCATTTGAAAACTTTCCATATCTGTTGTGTGCAAAGGTAAGGCTTTTAACACTTGTTTGTTCTCATTTCCACCTAATTTGGACAAGCCAAATCCAATAAAATTATTTTCAATTTTGAAAAATGCCCCAAAAGGGCCCAATTTGGGGGGTAGGGGTGCTTTTTGAGAAATTTTCAAATGTAAACATGGGTTATGTGATACATCAATTTAAAGGTCTAATCACCGCGATCATTTTGGTGCAAAAAAAGTTTAATTATCTTTAACCGTATTTACAGGGTGGGTCAAAACGTTTTAAAAAAGGACTTTGAAGTTAAGTACCGTATTACCCTAACTAATGAACGGAACAGCGCCAAATTTCTTTCCAAGCTTATTCTTGAGCTACTCTTTAAGATAACTTGTAGTAAGGGCATTTTCCATGTTATTATCTAATTTAAAGAAAATCTCAAATTTTAAGAATAAAAGAAAGCTGAAAACTCAAAATTTTTTAATAGCAAGGTATAACAAATTTCATACCACGTGAAAGGTCATTTTTTAACAAACATTTTATGTATTTAAGTTTTCTTTCTATCTCTTACTGTTTAAAAATTGCAGTAGAAAATCATAATTTTCCATGGTAAAATTATAATTTTTTCTAATAAAACACATTGCACTTTGCTCAACGATGTAGTAGGATTTATTACAAATTGATCGACTACTTTTACTTGTGTCAGAATTCATCATGGACCCTTCATCCTGTTCTTTTCTCATTGGTAACTGAGCCACTTTCAGAAAACTTCCTAACTAAATCATTTACACTATATGACTCAAGGTCTTACCTGGATATCTATTGTTAAACACTTTGCAGTTATCCTGGAACACTTTTGTTCTGACCAATAAGTAAAAATAAAGTCTTTTTTTTAGTGTACACCATATTTGATTAGATACTACAGGAAATGGTACTTTTGCAATTAGTACTACCATTGACTAGTCTTAATAAAAAATAGTCTTTAATAATACATATAAGTTTGTTTCATAGACTAGTCAATGGTACTACAGAAAGCGGCCCACGCTTGGGGTTTTCTCATCAGCTATAAAACTTGTTTTTCACAAAGTAAAACGTAATAACTTGTTTGTCTATCTGCCTATAAATAATAATTAATTGTTTCCTTCAGTTGTTGCACCATTACATGTGTCTAGAGACAAATTTTGGCTGTTTTATTAGAAAACTAGTTAAAATTTTACAATAGAAAATTATGTTTTTCTACTGCAATTTTTAAACAGTAAGAGATAGAAAGAAAACTTAAATACATAAAATGTTTGTTAAAAAATGACCTTTCACGTGGTATGAAATTTGTTATACCTTGCTATTTAAGAATTTTGAGTTTTCAGCTTTCTTTTATTCTTAAAATTTGAGATTTTTTAAAATTAGATAATAACATGGAAAATGCCCTTACTACAAGTTATCTTGAAGAGTAGCTCAAGAATAAGCTTGGAAAGAAATTTGGCGCTGTTCCGTTCATTAGTTAGGGTAATACGGTACTTAACTTTAAAGTCCTTTTTTAAAACGTTTTGACCCACCCTGTAAATACGGTTAAAGATAATTAAACTTTTTTTGCACCAAAATGATCGGGGTGATTAGACCTTTAAATTGATGTATCACACAACCCATGTTTACATTTGAAAATTTCTCAAAAAACACCCCTACCCCCCAAATTGGGCCCTTTTGGGACATTTTTCAAAATTGAAAATAATTTTATTGGATTTGGCATGTCCAAATTAGGTGGAAATGAGAACAAACAAGTGTTAAAAGCCTTACCTTTGCACACAACAGATATGGAAAGTTTTAAAATGAACACCCTGTATGTTCTTAATATAATCCAAAGAAGTAAAATAAAATAGGTCATATAGAGTTTCAAAATATTTTACTACCCATTTCAAAACGGTTTCAACACCAAGGTAAATTACATAGCAAGTATAATTTTTAACACAACTAACATTTTGATGTGTGCAAATATACTTTTTAACTAACATTTTGTGTTAAAAGTCATTATCAGTGTCCAAATGTTGGTTGTTGGAGTTATTTGTAATGACTGTTTGTTCTCATATACATATCTTACATCTGTTACACGGCAATAATAGCATTGTTAGATACTTTGAAGAGGTAGTGATATCACCATTATAATCATAATATTATCTCATTCACTTGACATGGTTTTCAACACCATACTATCAAATATGACATATATATTTGATTATCTGCTGATAAAGAATGTATACTTTGTGTTTTTTTTTCAAGATTACAGTTGCGACTATGTGCCATTTGATACATTTTATTAGAAAGCAAGCCAGAAAAATAAAATAAAAAATGAATAAATAAAAGTAAACCTTTTTATGCTGTGCTATTATTATGTGACAAAAAAGTATATTAAAAATATTTTTACTGTATTTTTTGCGAATACTAGTTCATTTGTTGGATCGATTCCATGAGAGGAAGTCTCTTCTAATTTCATCCAAAATTCCAAATACCACAAAACCAAATGCCACGAGAATGGCTTAGACTTGGACCATTCTTTTAAAAGTTTGCATTCTTTATTTTACTAAAACATATAATGGAAACTATCTCAAATCCTTTGTTAATAAAGTGTGGTAAAAATTGGCAAATGCATATTTTAAGGCATTTCAGATATACCCTTCGACATTTTTTTCTAGTGAAATATGGGGAAGTACTGAAATTCGAATTGGAAAAATATTGAATTTGAGTTTGGCAAGCGAAGAATGTTTTCGATTATGAAGAAACCCGAGACTGATTCAGAATAAATCGTCATGGAGAACTGAAATATAGCCTCTCCGTGCCTCACTGGTTTTAGTAGCAAAAACATACAAGAAATATATCTTTACTTTATATTTCTGTGATTTTAGACCCATTGACAATCAATGGTCAATTACATGGACAATTGCAATGGGAATTAATAGACAATTACATGGTCGGATTACGAGAATGTTTAATCTGAATAGTAGAAGTAAAATACAATTACATTTTGAAGTGTTGACGCATAGAGTAAATTCAAAATGATGATAATGTTTAAGATAATTAAAATGGTGATTAGTTTTCCTTTTTTTACTCTAAATCATAAACAGTCTAGTGTTGTCTTAGTTGTTATTTTTACATATTTGACTGATCTTTGGAGAAATAATCATTATACTCTACCTCTTAGATTTCTATTGCAATTAAAAAAATATGTTTAATATATAACTTTGTGCCACCTTTGATGCCATCAAATAATTTTGGTGTTAAATCAATAATTATCTGAAGATATAGAATGTACGGTTCAAAGGACTTTCACAAGGTCGTTATATTACAAAGCCTAACCTACAAAGAAGCAGATTCTCAAACTCTCAGGAAAATCCAAACTTGTTATTTCAAGTGACAGTTTGCAGTGAAAGGTTTTACTTTATTCTCTCTTGTTATTTCATTATTCCTACATTTGACAAATCAAACAACACCTTTGCTCGAGACCCTGTTATATTTGGAAGTCTTTGAAAAGGTTAAAAATATATTATTCTTTAGTTCTATTTGCATCTCCAATTTCACAACAAGGGTTTAAGCGCGCCATTCAATATGCTTACATACTTACGTATTATACTTAACGTACCGTACGTATTTTGACATAAGGTAGGTAATACATGTAGAAAAAAATGTTAAACGAATATTAAATTTATTACCTAATTAAAATATAATACAATTACGATTATGATATGATTAAGTAATCATAGTAATAATAAATTGAGACTAAATCGTTAGTTGTTACATGGGAAATACTAATAAACTTACTACAAAATGTCTAGAAAAATAATTCATTTATAGTTATAAATATTTTATTGGGGAAAGAAAAGCTAATAATCCCCCTGCACTTCACCAAACTTAATAAACATGTTTCCCCCTGCTTAAAAGCACCTCTTGAAAAGAGTAAACAAATGCTGGAACAAATATTCTATTTTAGGTTAAGAGTACTTGTAAACATGTACGGTGATATTGCATAAGTTTTAATGTTTATTTTTATCCATATCCATTAAAAATATCCGTTTCATAGTATGCAAATAAATAAAAGGTTCCCGGAAATTCGTTGTATTATAAACATTTTCAATTTGTGTATAGTCAATGTTATAGTACAATACATTATTTCTCATCTAAGGGTATTTTTTCAACCACGGCATTTCCAAAAATCTATTTAAAAATTAAAATGGTTCTAGCTTTAAACAATAAATTTAGAATACAAAAATTTAAAATATCAGTCTTATAAGTAGTTAATTGATGTTTTAAGTGGTAATAATAAACTAAAAACGCGTTGATGAAAAATATATTTATACGGAGATCACTTAATTCTTTGCGTGTAAATGAACTGTATATATTTTTCTTCCAGCGAAAGAAAGAAGTCTTGAACAAAGTTAGTCTCGAGGGTCGACTTATGTTGCTGTCTGCATCGTGCTTTGTCTCGACTGTTCTAACACTCAACTATTTTCTTTTAATGACTAGAATATATTAGTTTATTATATAAAATGTAAAAACATAAAAATTATAAGAACTAATAAAACGTACTTTGGCTTTTCAGTGTCGATCGCTTAAAAAAATTAATTATTTACTTTACATCTCTTGTTGTACAATAAGTATGGGTCCTGTTTTCATGATTCATGAGAATTAAAAACTTTTGATTTAAGTCATA